GTTTAAACAGTATTATTGATCGATTTTAAAATTCAGCTGACAATTTTCCCTTTTGAGAATTTTCCTAAACCAAAGCTGGTTCATTAGGACTCAACAAATACAATATAATTAATTCAGGGGCTGTTGTTCCAGCAGGTGGATTAGCAGAAAAGTTTTTTTATTTTGTTTTGTTTTGTTTTCCATAAAACTAACACCACAATTTATGAGTTTGGGGAGAGATAATAAACATGTCTTTAAAATGGATTTGTTCACGCTGAAAGAACCTCTTAAACACCATAATAGAAGGCCACAGTGCCCCATAATTGCAAGGTGAATTTTGCTGCCCTTCATGATGCTCTATTATCCAATCCAAAGGGTGGAACATGACCCAGAACAGCTTTTGATCCTTGATTCTAGGGGCGCAGAGTACTGGGATCGCTTTGAGAAGGCAGGGAGAAGCCAGAACATGACGCTCACATGGCCACCCCCTGCAATCAGTGAGGAAATGGAACCTCCGCAATTGCACCTGACAGCTGACTGAGCCGGGAGAGATGGAGGTTACTAAGAACATACCACGCACCCCAGCTCCTGGTCCTTTGCAAATATGATCTCATTTAGTCTTCACGGATGCCCCATAAGACAGACATCATTAGCCCCATTCTACAGACAAGAAAATGAAGGTGAGATAAGTCGTGTTATTCGAATATATGCAGCAAGTTAATGGGAGAGTCAAGATTCGAACTTGAGCCCTTCAAGCCCCTGCTCTCTCCTCCACACCTTGCAGTGTATAACAGGATACTGTATGAGAGTAAGTACCTCTTACTTTGGCCGTTTTGGCTTTTTATTCTGATAATAATACCTGATATTATTATTATTATCCCTCCCTACCCATGATGGTTAAAGAAAGTCCCATTTAATTCCATTAGTTTTATTAAAGTTACATTTATACTTCATTGATTAAAGGGTAACCTTTGAAATGAGAGCATCATGCTTCAAGTTTCATTTTTCCTTCTTCTATGACAAAACATATACAGAAAACTATGGTACCTGAACTTGACGTTCATAGATGCCAAAGGTCTCAGGAATGATCTAGTTCCCCCTCTTTATTTCAGAGCTGGGAAAATTGAAATCAAGAAAGGCCATGTGATTTGCCCAAAGTTTCATATTTTAATAGTGGCAGGCAAAACAGCCCCAAAAGTGAAATAAATGGAGACAACAAAAAATGCCCATCAGTAGAGAATTATTCATTGTGGAATACTGATATGATAGAATAGTGTAATATAAAGAAATTAGCTAAATCTGCAACTATCAAAACAGAAAATCTCAAAGACAATGTCGAGTGAGATAAACGGGTGAAGGAAGGAGACATTAATTACTATTGCAATGCACGTAATATAATGTAACGTTATTTGTAGGCATGCACATATGACATAAAACTATAAGAACATGGACAGAAAAGCAAATTAATGATATGGTCATCTTTAAAGAAAAGAAAATGGCAAAAAGTACTGAGAAGAGGCGCCAGTGAGATTTCGATCTTATACCTGGTGTTTTATCTCTTTAAAATAAGCAAACAAGCAAAGGCAGCCAAAGATGAAAGAGAAAACTTTTAACTTGATCTAACTTCAAAGCAGATAGACTGAGTTAAAGAAGGGACACACCAATATTTGAATTAACAGTTTTCTGTTTCTTCCCTGGCAGAACTGATCTGCAACATTTAAAAATCAATACTCCAAAAATTTTTTAAATAGTAACTATTTTACTGTCATAATCAAGAAACAGGAAAAGAGATGTCAGTGGGGAGGGGGGCTAATTTGGCTAGAGTGGGGTGTGAATGTTTGGGGTGGGGAATAGGTTAATGTGGATAAGACAAGTTCTTGCTGTAGGGGAAAGCATATTCCCGAAATTATGTGGAAAAGGCAAAGATACGAGGGAGAAACCAACCAGATTCAACATGAGAGGACCAGGAGGAAATTATTAAGATGCTTCCCACAAACCAGGCCAGCTGCTTCTGAAAATCAGCAGCTCCAGGGATCAGATAAGGTGAACACATCCTTTAAAAAATGAAAATTTTTCAAGGCCCTATGAATGCAAATCAGAGGCTGTTTTGGGGGTGAGGTACCAGCTGCTTCTGAAAATCAGCAGCTCCAGGGATCAGATAAGGTGAACACATCCTTTAAAAACTGAAAATTTTTCAAGGCCCTATGAATGCAAATCAGAGGCTGTTTTGGGGGTGAGGTTAAATTACACACCAAGAGGAAAGCTATAGGGACTTAAGACTTCTATTAAGCCTGTCATGTAAAATTTCGGATTAATCTAGAGGAAAAAAGAAATCCTCTCCTAAAGAACAATTTTAGAAATAAGCAATCTTGACTCCCCAGGCACCATTTAAAACTTGGGCAAAACATGAATGCTGCGATAATCCACTGGGCTCTGGTTCCAGAAACACAGCTGGGCACAGGAAGAAATCTCTCCCTTTGAGTTTTAGAATTTTTGCCTCAAAACAGTTTGGGGCTTTGGTCTGGATTTGAGCTTGTCGAGATCTTGGTATAATAGATTGAAGTCAAAGGGCAAGATTTTTCTTTTTTTCTTCTATTCAAGTGAACAACATGAGTGAAAGGGGCCCCTGACTTTTTGAGCTTTATTTTTTATCTGGAGACAAATTTCTACAAGTTCCTATTCTGCTCTGAAGAGCACCAGCATCATCTGAGGCTTAGCTATAGCTGGGCTGCTCTGGAAGAATGATTAGTATCCACTCCAGAAGAAAAAATATTATCCTTCAAACCAATGGCTAGACACTTTATCTAAAATATTCATTTATTCCACTTTAAAGGACCCCACTTGTCTTAAAAAAGTTCCATGCTAAATCTCTCCAGCCATTTCTCCTAAAATGGCTAGTCTCATCAAGTGGAACTTTATACCCAAATAAATCAGTGGGTTCTTTCCTGAGTGGACCATGGCGACAACACAAAATCTAAATTAATTTGTGATCCATCACTTTGAGACGTCTTCATGTAATCAGATGTCAATTCAGTCCCCAAAGTCAATAAAATAAAACAGCTAGCATGTCAGTGGTCAAGCTGGAGAGCTGAATTGATAAACTTGACCACCTGTGACAGCCAGAGCCCTGGACCCCAAGGCAATGAACAATGCCATGGAAAAGTCAGAGTCCCCCAGGAGTGATGTCATTTAGCAAGCAGGTCGTGGGTTCTTAATCACAGCTGATGAGTCACCAGACTAAATCCTCTAAAATACTGTGCTCATCATGTCACTCTCCTGCTCAAAAACTTTCTACGGCTCCCACTGCCAAGAAAGCAAAGTTCAAACCTGGTGGACTGATACAGGATGTCCTCCACAATCTGCTTACAATCCGCCTTTCTGACAGCACTATACCAGAATTCCCCATGCTGGGCCTTCCTTCCCGTCCTCTCCCTCTACATGAAAAGCCCACTCCACACCTCCCTCCATTGTGAAGCCCGTCCCACTCCCATCCCAGCCCATACCTGTCATCTGAAACTCTGAAAATGCTTTTCAACAAGTTCTATTCCTACAGTTTCCTCCAACCACAAAGCCAAATAAACCATATTTGATTCTTTTTCACCTTAGGAGGGGAAATGACTCCTCTCTTCGGCTGACAACTTCCACTGGAGTTCAGTAATTCTCCTATTTTCTGGAAGATGAAATGCTCTACATCTTCCATGCCTGTGGTTTATATTTTACCAAGTGGTGTCAGTGCTGATATAGTAACTTCCCATTTTTATTGAGCAGTGCACAACGTAATTGATGACATCTGCTGAGACTGATATTTTAAGTGAAGGCTATTTTCAGCTCTGCCTGCTCGCCTCATGGCTCTGTATATAGCCAACAGCAGCTACACCTGAGGTGCAAAGTAGGGTTACTTGGCTAAGGTCCTCAATTATACCCCATGAAGTCAAGAGTTTTTCTGGGAGGACTTATTGCAGCAGACTCAGTTTTCAAGCCTGCAGAGCTAGAAAAAGGGAGAGCAGGGTGGGGTTCTGCTGGATATAGTTGCCATCAATCCTAGGAGAAAAAAATCCTTGTTTAAACTTTTTACCTAAGCAGATTTAAATGCCATGTTCTTTTTGGTGTTCCAAGTTTCTGCGTTAGCCCCAAACCAGGAGAAACTGTCATTTACATCCCCAAGTGGCAAATGATGCCTACCTTTATGTTTTCCATTCTCCAATGTGCATTAGTAAAAGTAAACATGTCTTCCCTTGGTAGAGGTTTTGTATTTTGACACATGGTACATGATATTTTTCCTCTGGGTTTCAGCATTAATTGCATATACATACTTGAAATACAATCTACCATCATTTTCAGCAGTAGGGTCTGTGCCAACAGCAGCCACATATGGAACAATGGGAACAGGTATGGGATCCACCGCAGGTCCTCGTTGTGTCTTAAATAACTCACAGGAGGATGCTGTTAGTGATTTACAGCAGCCATCGGGAGACTGGTCTATGCTTGCTGGGGTGGGGGGAAGGGCCCTCGGTGGATCAGGTTAAACCCAAGTGGTCAGTGAGGTGACTCTGAAACAGCTTCTACTTAGAAACCATGAAGAAGTTATTTAACAAATGAAATATTAGTGCCCTTGAAAGTCTCCCAGCATTAACCTTTTCTAGAAAGACAGTGTCATTTTTATGGGTTTATGTAAATTGGGGAGCGTTTCCAGGCACAGTCTGTTCCACAAATGAAAGCACTGGATTCTGCCCCACAATTCACTAGGTTAATCTGATGACCATCCTACTATTTGCCTTTTTTAAAAAAAAACAAAACCAATTATAATGATTGTCCTGATTAATTTTTAAAAATTGCTTAAATCTGTCCTAGAAGCTCAAAAAAATAGCCAATTTCTATCACCCCAGTCAATTCAGTCCCCAAAGTCAATAAAATAAAACAGCTAGCTGGCCTTTGTAGGAACATTAAATCAGCAGGCAAGGAAGGAAAAATGAGACAGCATTTCCCATGGACTATACAGCAAGAAATATTGTATACTTTACCTTGGTCAAAGGGCTTGTTGGGATTCCAGTTTCTGAAATAATCATCCTATATAAGGAAAAAATAGAAAACAAAGGTCAGATTTCAGGTAGCTTCTCACATAACTGCATAAAAACCTGCCTTTCTCCCCACCTCCCAAAACACAAAGGAAAACAATAACAACTTAGAAAGTTTTCCCAAAAAAGGCATTAATGTGCACTTTTCAAATTCTTGTCTTTCAAACTGCATGTATGAAATAAACACTGGGAATACAGTAAGAACATTTCAGGCCAATAAGGAAACAGCATTGCTTAGTTTTCCCAAAAAAGGCATTAATGTGCACTTTTCAAATTCTTGTCTTTCAAACTGCATGTAGGAAATAAACACTGGGAATACAGTAAGAACATTTCAGCCCAATAAGGAAACAGCATTGCTCTTCTTGGTTTGCGGTACAAACCCAGACACCTCCTATGTGCAAGGTGTATGTGCTATCAATTACACTGTAGGTGATGCCTTGCTGCTCTCACTTATGATTAAGCCTCTGTGTTTGTAACAGCTGATAATTCAACTGTCAACATTTCTTTTACATGAAGATATGTATCTCGTGATGCACAGTTCCAGTTTTCTAACACTCACAAAATCTAAAAACAGAGGGCCATTCAAATGTTAGAATTAACCATAGGCATACGTTTAGCTTAATGCCATTTGTTCTGAGTCTGGAAAGATGAAAAAACAAAGCCTGGCCAGTCTGCTCTATTCATAACCATGTCTTTCTTGCATGCAGCTTGCATCAAGTTATGCTCTGAAGCTAGACACTTCATTACCTTGAAACTGCAAGGGTCTAGGCCACTCACTTCTTCATAGTTATGTCAGCCTCTTCCCCACTTCTAGTAATCCTTTTCTTCCCAACAACCTCTGTCCGTTCTCTTCCCCCACCCTACCCAGCACTCATCAGCCACTCTGCTGCCTGGCACCCCCACCCTGTCAGCACAACTGAATGGTCTGCCTGTGGAAGAGGTGTCACTCGTTCCCATCATCCTCACACCATCTTTAGGATATTTGCTCCTTTTCAGTTAATATCCAATTTACTTGCTGTATATGTTTTTGGCAAGTACACTGAGTGCTGCAGACAGTTTCAGAAAGCTGTCCAAAATGAGGCCTCAATTTCACTTCTGGAAGAGTTAATTTACGTCAAAGTGCACAATTAGTTTAAATTATTGTCCATGCTGTCTCCTGCTGCAGTTTATCTCCAACACGATCTTCTGTGAATTTTATCTGTGTTGTCCCATTACCTGTCTTTATTAGATCCTTGTTGAGTTCACCTAAGCCCTTAAATAGATTTTAGGAAACTGGATTTAGAGTCAAATCAGAACATATTGCTTCTTGGCCAGTGATTCCATTTTCCAAAGCATGAATAAACATGAACAGGTTCCTCCGGATCCTGGGGATTCAGCATTAAATTATTTTTAACTCCAACGAATTGGCCCACTTTGCTCTGGCTTTAATTTTATGGCATAACTGGCCTTCTCACCCACCTGGGTAAGAAGTCTTTGAGATCTACACCATATCACTGAGAAAGTTTAGAACAATCTCCCTCTCCATTTGTTATTTTAAATACCATCCTAATCTGGAATTGTGCTGTGTGAAACTAGGCAGCCAGTGTTAAATGGTTTTAAGTTAAGGGTTGGATTGTAGGTAGGAAATTTAGCACCCAATTTCTCGGTTTGATGACCAATGAACTCTTAGCCTTAGACAACCATGTTACCAACAGATTCTGCTATTCACAAGGGCAGGAGAAGAGATAACCCAAAACGAACTCAATCTCACCACTGGAGGAAAAAAGCAACTGTTCATCCTTCCAGCTGGGGCTCATCAGTGCCCTCTCCACATACAGAGGATGGCATCGAGCCCAGTGGTCATGTGGAATCTTGTGAAATATTTTCTACTTGAACATACTAATATACAGAAGCCCTTGGAAGCTTAGGATGTCCAACAGGGAAGGGCTAGAGCCAAAGACAAGTTCCTTTACTTTAATTTCACAGGTCACATTCTCTTTGATGTCAAAGAAAGTTTGAGAAAGTCTCAAGAACTGAATGTTCCCTAATGATTTCAACATATTTTATAACTTGGATGGAATCTGAAGCATTCTTCTGGACCTTGTCACTTTTCCAGGTTAACTATAATTGCCATTTTTACATATTTCTTGGGGAAAATCATGATTTTAAATATAAAGCCTCTCAAAGCAGATGTCTGCATTAGAATATTTAAAACCCATTGCAGACGTAATAATACCACCTAATTGCTGCCAAAATGTGAAAGTACACCTTGAATGAAAACTCGTTATACAAAATGAGTCCTTCAAACAACCCCTTGTCCAGCAAGGCCAAGCAGGGAAGGAAAATTATTCTCTGCATCTGATTGCCTTTGCCCTGCCTTAGGAAAGTGGATTGGCTGAAGAAAAACCAATGAGCAGGGAGCTGGTGAAACCTTGGATGCCACTGCTTTGGCTACGGCTGAAAGAGAAAACCCTATGTCAGGGGCTAAGATCATGAACACATGTGAAGTACTCTAGGCACCAGAGCCTGCTTGGGGGATGGGAAATGAGCACGGGGAGAGGGCACGGGATGGGGATGGGGGTTCTTAACAGCCACTGCTGCTGTGGAGGTCAGAGTACGAGATGCCAGAGCACATGTGTATCACTCTCCCACACAGTACTACCTAGGTGTGAGGGCCTCCACACACAGTGAGTCCAAGCAGGCTGAGGCTGCATCTAACAGCCACTGCTGCTGTGGAGGTCAGAGTACGAGATGCCAGAGCACATGTGTATCACTCTTCCACACAGCACTACCTAGGTGTGAGGGCCTCCACACACAGTGAGTCCAAGCAGGCTGAGGCTGCATTGGTCAATTCAGTCTGCGTCTGGGTATTTCTGGTGAGGCAGCATCCAAATCCAAGTGGGAAAAGCCTAAGACAAGAGAATGCCTCTTCTAGCGCTTCACCTCCCGAAAATTTGTTCATCCTTGAGTCTCACTTAACAGTGGGGATGCTCAAAGGATGTAAGGACAGGTGTCTATGGTCCTGAACCAACACTCTGCCAATACTAGAGCTGGTCGTTTCCCTAGGGCCTAAGACCCAGGTGACATCAGCCAAGCTTTTCTTTTATTCTTCTATCTAAATAAAAAGAAATCGTGTATATTTTACATTGTCCTAAAACAAACAGACTCATGACCTCCTATGACAGTTCTATCATCTCCCCCCGCCCCACACACACACCACCCCTGTCCCGGGGAAGTAGTGTTATATGGAATGCTGCATTATATGGAAGTGTGTTCCTGCTGTGTGGACCTCAGAATCCAGTCCAGATACCAAAGTGCAGGACTTCAAGAGCCCTTGCCTCTGACCTTCCTTCTGGCCCAATAAATTTGTGGCCTGTTAAAATTCAGACTGTGGTGAAAGGCATATTGGAGAGATCAAACTTGTCAGGCAAGGGGAATCTGTCAGGGTTGGCCGCTTAACTGGAATTTTATCATCTAATGATGAAGCTTTTAAAGCAGACGTGCAAGGACCCCAGCAACAGTTAACTTTTAAAACATAAACCTAAATAGATAGATGCATATCTAAATATCATCATTAAATGCAATAACTCCCATTAATGCATTATACAGGTTGAGGAATGAAGGATGGCAGTGTCACTACACATGCATATTTTATGAGCTACGCTGCAGAGTATACTTATGTCAGGTCTCTATTGGATAGGGCAGAGAACAATCTTGCTCTAAATTCTAACCAACCCACATGAGGAAAGGCTGATACCATTTCACTGTTCCAATATCATTAATGAAAATTTTCCAATTCTTTTTTAGGGACTGTTAAAATCTAGAAGAACTTATGAATGTAAACAGAAGCTCAAACTTGAGCATACTGACTCGTCGGAAATCATGAACTTTCCCAGGGCAGCAGGAAATATCATGAAAAGTCAGCATAAGATCATGGTAAGAAAGGGACAGATCATTACATGTCTAGGAAGAGGAGGAAGAGGAAGAAGGGGTGGTGCTGGCGGGAGAGGAAGAATCAGAGACTGGTAGCCACTATGGCTCCAATTATTTTTTTATCCTCTACAGCTGATCAACATAGAGAAAACCATATTTCTCCATTTATCTCACTAAGTAAATATCCCAGTAACATAGTACTGGATCCTGTGAAATTATTGGCACCCAGTGGCTGGTACAAAAGAATTTAACTCTGGGTTTTCAGCTATGTTAGAGATATTTTGTTTTGATAAGCATTTGTGGAAAAGGAAATCTGTTTTATATATATATATATATATATATATATATTTACACATATATATATGAATATATTCATATTATAAATAAATATTAGTAAAAATATATTAATATATTAATAAAATATATGATATACAATACATGACAAGAACATTTTGTTCTATAATACATCTTCCAATGAAATCTTTACATCTGACTAAAATGAAATAATGCCAAAATATCCCCGGTACAATTTGGGTAATTAAGTCTCTTCATCATGGATAATCATAACCAATTGGGAAATCTGTGGTTCCAGCCCATTTTGAATGGGAACCTGGATTTCTTTCATCGTGCTATAGCCCAGAAATGGCTGATGCAATTTAGGTCAAATATGTCCCAAGGATTTGCCTTTTAAGAGGTGCCTATTTCAGATCCAGAGAATGTCAAAGCTGACTCTAAGGAAGACATGGGGTGGCAGAACCACATGGAAACCACTCTGGAAAGCCAACTGTTTTGGTGCCCAGTTATGAAGATGATGATGTAACTTACTATATACCACAGCTTCGGATGCTACAGATCAAAGGCATTTAGCTTACATGAAACAGATGATTTCTCCCTCATACATATTTTAGCTAAGCTGTTTGAACCCTGCAGTTTCATCTGAAGATTACCTGAGATAATACAAATGACCAGACTAAATCATAATCAGGAGCCTCATTTGTCCTGACCAGGCGTGAGCAATAGAGACATGAGCAGAAGGAAGCAAGGTGAAGGGAGGGCAGGCAGCCACTTTGGGGTCCTCTGTGGGCCCACCGCAGGTACACACAAAAGGGAGAAGCACTTCCTTGCAAGG